TGGTGTCCTGCGGCTCTGGCACTGCAGTGATGTGGCCGGGAGCCTGGAGATGCACCCTCACTGTGCTCCCAGGCTCTCCGGTGGTGTGAGCACCGCCATAACTGGGGGGAGAGCCTGACTGGGGCACTGCAGCTCCTGCCGCCTTTTACCCTCTGCCGAACTGGGCAGTGTTGTAGGGGCTGTGCCCGACTTCCCGCTGCTACCATGTTGGCTGGGCTGTGGGTTCAGCTGAGGAGTCGGGAGTCAGGGCTGTGGGTTCTCTTCTGTCTCTGCCATCCTGCCTTCCCTACGCACGCCAACACGCCCGCCTTCAGGAATCTCCTCGCCGAGCGGGGACCTTTGTTGTGTTCTAAATGTCCTACTAGTTGTAGATAGACGGAGGCGGAGACGGATACAAAGGGGTCCTCTCTCTCTGCCCTGATGCTCAAAGTATTTCAAAGTATGCAACAGAGATTTAGAATTTGGGAGGTTATAAGAGACCCTTAAATACCATGTAGTCTAGTTGCCTCTACTTCTGTTCCCCTCTTTTAAATTTCCACCAAATGGTCATTTAATCTGTGTTTGGAAACTTTGAGCAAAAGAAGGTTTTGTGTGCAATTGTGAAAACCAGTCCACTGGACGTGCCACACGTCACACTCATCATTTATTGTATCCTGGGTTTAATCGGGACCACCTCTTCAGGTGTTAGCATCCCGCGTCTACGCTCAGTTCGTCTGACTCTGCATTTGTTCCAGGGCTTAGGACGTGATGCACGTAACCAAACAAACAATGCCGAGGACATTAACTGGCACAAACCCTCTTCCTTCAGTGTCCTGAGAAGTTAACTCAAACCCAGACTTTTCTCAAACCAGTCTAGCAGATTTCTGAGCTCGAATTTAGAGAACTAGTTTAGGTAAAGTGTTATGAGAAGGTAAGAATTCTTTGGTTCTGCTAGAGAAACATTTTACTTGTGTAATTAAAAGCACACAGTGCCCCCCTTCTGCGTGTCAGAGTTCTCTGCGGCTTGAACGGCCTGTTTTCAGTGTCTCCCTGTAAACCGGTTATTGGTGTCATAAAGATTTGCCTTGGAGATACTGTGTGTCATACTGTTGAAGCTTTTAGCTGCTGGAAAGACTGGTTTGATTGGGTTTGTCTCATGTTTGAGAAAAGATTGCAGATGTAAAAATCTGTCCATCATGTCTAAATAATAAGGAAGTAGTTACCTTGTGGCACATGCTGCATTTTAATTGTAGAACAGGGAAATTGAATATAGAATGGTATGATTTGCCTTTGTCCAACTATTGTTTTGTGTTTTATTTTTATGTATTTTGTCTGTGGAAGTGCCATTGGTATCATTTTCACTCCTCTAATCCAGCATATTAGGTTGACCTTAACCTTAAGACGCTCACCCTGCATTGCACTGTTCCCCCGTTAAAATGTTTTCGTAAGCCCTTAACCGTCTCAAGCCGAATTCCCATTCTGCCTCTTTCCGTGGCAGTCTTATTGATAGTGTTTCCGACTTCTATTCCTCAAAAGAGAATTGTACTCACTGGTTCACTGGTACGGGGTAAGGCGGGGGTGGGAGGCCGCCTCGGGATCCCAGCCTGGCTCCTCCGGCGTGTCCTTAGGCACCAGGCCTCCGCTGGGCTCCACGCGCTTGCGCAGGTGGCTTGTTTCTAATTTAACTGTGATTTTGCGCTGGTCCTGGAGGGAGGTGAGTGTAACTACCACCTGCTTTGCCGCCATTTTCCCCCCTATAACTTTGTAGTTTTTTTAACTTTCTGACTTTTTTGTAGCAACTCTTAGCCTAAAACACAAACATTTTGTGCAGCTGTACAAGACTGTTCTCTTATACCCTTATTCTATAGGCTTTTCTCTACTTTAAAATTTTTATTTATTTATTTTTTACTTTTTAAGCTCTTGTTAAAACGAAGACGGACACACACGTTACCCTGGGTTTACGCAGGGTCAGGGTCAGGGTCAGGGTCAGGGCCAGGGTCGGGCGTCAGTGTCGCTGGCTTCCTGCCCACACCTCGTGCCCCTGGCTGGGCTTCGGGGGCTGTCGTCCGGGACGACCGTGCCTTTGCCGGAATCCCTTCTTCAGGGCTGGCCTGCGCCCTTCTCGAGGAAGTGTCCCTCTTTTAAGACATACACCATGGTGGTTGGCTTTGTGTTTGTTTTCTGGGTTTTTTTCATCATAGATTTGCTTGTAAGCAGACAGTGGCTCAGGAAACGTCTCAGGAAACGTCTCAGTTTTGGGCAAACCGGTTACAGTGAATTCCTCCCGTACAGTTTATAGAAAAGATGCTGATGTCTGCTCATGGTGTTTCCTATTAAATGAAAAGAAATGGGTGGCAGATGTCTGATCTGGAGTAACGCACTTAGCGATCCGCCTAGGACCCAAGTTAGTCTCGGCAACAGAATTTCTATAGGAGGCTTCATCGGTTCAGAGGATTTGAGGTCACTCGAGAATCTGCAGTAGGATTCAGTGAGACGCCCAGTCACCATCTGCACACCGAGGAGCAGGATTGAGGCCACGTGGCTTAGCCTTCTCTCCAGCAACTAATCTCTGAGCTTATGATATTTGTTGCAGGTTGAATTTTAGGGTAATTTACCCTGTAAGCTGCACCTAGGGATTTGTTTGCATTCAATTCTTTCACTGTTGTCTTTCTAATATATCAATCAGTGGAAATATTTTACTATGTGTTAATTTATTTCTCTGTTGCCTTGATCTATAAGGGGTTTAAGATTATATACTTAGTATACTCTAGATGAATGTTAATAGAAAGTCTAATGTTTTTCATGGGTATTTTGTATTTATATAGCAATTAGTTTGACACGCGGTTTCTATGTCATAATGGGATTGTCCTCTATATAAAATGAAAAAGGGAGTTGTTCTCTGTTTTAATTTTCAGATGATAAATGCCATGAAAATTTCTAACCACTAAGTAAAATATTTTAGAAATTGGCTAGAAAGGAAAACCACATTAACACCATTTAAGCCTCACTTGGTATGAAGATCTCCAAAGTAATATATTAGAGTGAAACTCAGGTACCAGTCATAACCCTGTAGCATCCGTAGGTATGCATTCGGGAAATGCATGGTTCATCATGCGTGATTTAGAAGTTACAGGGTACAGTACCTAAAATTGCTCACAATCCCATCAAATAAGATCCCAGGCTGGTGAGAAGAATGTGAAAAATGGTGATGTTATTTATAAATAACTGTTATCTACACTGCTGCTGAAAATTTCCTAGAGAATATGAACTGTACTTTTAATAGGTTATTTTGCAGCCAGCCTGTCCAGATCTCTAAGTAAGAATGTAACCTCTCACTACAACTAAGATATTTTCTCTTTATCACTGTTTTTTAGTGTCTAAAAAGCACGGCAAGCTTATCACTTTCTTACGCACATTCATGAAGTCTCGTCCGACAAAACAGAAGCTGAAGCAGCGGGGGATCTTGAAAGAGAGGGTGTTTGGCTGTGACCTGGGGGAGCACCTTCTGAATTCTGGCTTTGAAGGTAAAAATAAAATTTATAATCTTATAATTTTAGTTTCTAACCTTTCCATATTGATTTGATTTTCTATAACCAGTTTTGCAATACATTAGGCAAGTAATACCTGTTCCATTTAAGTTCAGCAGCACATATTGAACATTCCCAGGTCCTTACCGTAGTCCCGGGGATAGCTGAGAATAAGAGAGGGCTAAGCATGTACTTTGGATCAGAGATGCTTCGGATCTGTTTAGGAAGAGTAAGGCATTTGCATAAAGGGTGCAATAGCACAGTTAGTTTGCATTATTTTTATATCTGTCCAGATGGCTTTCTCAGGCAGCTTTCCCCTCCCACATTTTATTCTAAAATATTTCTCTTTCGAAAAATTTAGCCATAGGTTTGAGGCTATAAAATACCAAGACCAGTCTCCCAACTTCTATAGCTAAAAATTTTAATTCCTTTCTCTGTAAATCAAATTCTAACTCAAGAACTTAGTGGTTGGATAAATGGATGGAAGGGAATGAATGGCTAAGAAGAAAGAAAAAAAATGAGGTTTCCCTTTTTTTTAAAAAAAAATCACACTTTCCTCTACTGGTTCTTACAAAGATGATAGAATATTAAAGAACTACCGGAAGTATCTACAATGTTGATAAGTACCAGAAATAGATGATTTGTGAAATTCTAAATCCTGATGGGAAATACCCATTGTACTTCCTAAGACGATTGATGAAAACTAGTGTACATACCAATAAATATCAAGTTCAAATCAAATCCTTACTCATTGCTTAAAGAATAGCAGTATACTTGTAATACAAATATTATGCAAACCATACCATGTTTCTTGAGAGAAAACAATAAAAGGTGTTATTACCAAACTAATGCCAATTTATTACAGTTTAAAAAAAAAAAAAAGACAAAAACCCTGAGAATTATTTTTGCAACTAGTTAAGTAAAACATGGGAAAATAAGCCAATGAGAGTATCAAAGAGCATTGTAAGGGGAAAGATCAGTGATCGGATAGGAGACATACAGCTTTACCAGATATTCAAAACTGGAATGTTGTTAGTGTAGGGAATGAGCTATGGATAAAACTTAGAAAGCTTAAAAGGGGTCCTAACCGCACACAATTCCACCATTATAAAATATGAGAGGAGGGGTACTTATTAAGTATAGTTTGAGGTAATGAAATAGGAATTTTGAAAAAAATTCTCACTTTATCACACTAAAAATCCAAATGTATGAATAAGTTAACTATTTTAAGCTCATAGAAATGCTAATATGTTATGATTTTGTTTTGAGATCAAAGAGGAATAATAGCTTTCTCACTTAAAAAAATATAAAGGCAAGGGTAGTCTCAAATACATAATTTACATATAATGAAAATATCAGAGGTAGTGGAAAGGTACCATAGACAGGGAAAACAATCCATTTTTGGATATAATGAAATGATTCTAATAAAGTGTATACAAATATTCAGATTTGTGAGAAAATTAAGCCCCTAGGTAGGAGAATGAAGAAAAGATAAAAACAAATATTTTCACAGTGAGTTAGATAGTAAACAAAATACAGAAAAGTGTTTAAGCTCATTTGTAGTCATGGAAATGTATCTTTAAGCAATTTTGAGATACCATTTTATATTGATAAACATCATTAATATAGTAAAGCTGCTTTTCTAAGTTATGGTCATATTAACCATAATCAAATAGCTATATATTTCTCTAGCAAAATGGTTTTTTGGGGGGAAGAACAAAGAATTGCAATTTGGGACATGTGGTCTAATTGGGAAACATGCCCAAGTCCAGAGCTAAAAAGCAGAAGACTGCTTCTCTCATGGACGTGGGTGGGGCTGTTGGAAACCTGGTGTCCCCTGGAGGAAGCCGAAAGTACGAAGCATAGTGACTCTTCATTGGCTGAGCCGTGACTGGGAAAGGAGGGGTCTTTCCTTCCTCCTGCTGAGGTAGGAAAGTATCATTTCCTGTGATTTAAAAAAAAAAATCACTTTCTGTTGGAGGCACAAGGTGTGTTTCTTCCTGTTGGGGCCAGCAGCGTGTGTGAAGTGACAGGTGCGTAAGAGTTCTCTCCTCTAGCCTCCTGACTTCGTTCTAAACGAGAGTTCTGTAAATTAAGTTTCACAATAGCCAATACCATTAGAAATAGCAACAGTTTCATCAATAGACAAAAATTGTTGGTTTCAGGTAGCTCAGTGAATTATTAATTTTTTGAAAAGCATTTTGGTACTTCCTAGCAAGAGATTTCTCAGTGTTCTTTTCATGTAGGAGCTCCCTTTAGGGATTTATCCTAAGGTGGTATTTCAATAGAAACAAAAATGTTCATTATAGCATTATGTATGAGAGCAAAAAAACTGAGCACTCACTTTTAGGGAAATTGCTCCGTAAATTAAGAAGCTGTTAAAATTGTGAATTTGAATACAGTGTGGACATTTGAAAAATGTTATATATAAACAGTAAATTTACCTTTTTGCAAGTATGGATACTTAGGTGATATATAAAAAGAATTTAATTATGATGCAGTATTGTAGAGACTTTGTGACTTTTTTTCTTAGTTTCCTGCTTTTTTAATTAAAAAGAAGAAAAAATATTAGATGAATATTAGAAATTAATTTAATAGTCCTGGAAGAGACCTCTCTGCTAAGGCTGATTCAGGAGCGAAAGGCTGTTCAAGTGATTAGAAAAACAAGAGAGAAAAAGTTAATTTGCAACATTAGAGTGCAGTTGTAATTTGATAAATCTTGAGGACTGAGGTCAGATACATTCTAGTTGCCATATTAAAATAATTTCCTCTTTATTGGGGGTGATTAAATTAATAAATATTCATATGAAGAATATCATTTGAATATTCAGATAAGACTAAATTACACAAAAAGGGAAACCTTTGAAGTTTATCAATTAAAATTTTAATTAGAAAAGAAAATGGTTTTTAATATTAAATTGATTTATTAGTTTGTCTTTTTTATTTAATAAATAAGTGATGAATTAAAGATTTTTAAAATTTTGAGACTTTGTGTATACTGTAGATAGTCTATAGCTAGTCATACCGGGGGTGTGTGTGTGTGTGTGTGTGTGTGTGTGTGTGTGTGTGTAGAGACTGTTTCAAAGTCTAAATTAAAACAAATACAATTGAATACATATTATATATAAATATTTAAAGTCTAAGTGAACACAATTAGAATAATCCTAATTATTCTAATTAGGAGGAGGAGGAATGCTATACTGGTATTTTATATGTATAATCGTGAGGAGAGAGGAGGTGTAAATATGGATAGTCTATAATGCGTATAACCATTCCTCCTCATGACCAACCTGTCTTAGCTGGGACTTTAACATATAAATACGTAGGTATATAAAACAGATTTCGCACCAGGTTTTCCTAAGAGGGAGCCCGTATCAGCACGGTGTTTGGCTCCGTGACTCATTCTCTGAACTGTGTTCCTGAGGATGACCAGCTATAAAGAGTGATTACCCTGTCGACACCCTCTGAGCCTTTGAGCGCCTCCCTGTGGGATCAAGAGGAAAACCTGCCCCAACTCCCCTGACGGAGTTCTAAGAGCTCAACCGGCGGCCCGGAGCCGCTCGGGCGGCCTCACAGCCTCAGCCGCCCAAACCACAGCCACCGCAACGGACTTACTTAAAGGTTGATCACGGTTATTTACAGAAGCTCCCCACGGTGCCTTTTTTGGATGGATCAAACTAATTTGCCATTTACTTGGGCACCCTTGATTATAGAGTCAGATGTGTTTTGTTTTTTCCCTTTTGTGTGTCTCCGTTCTTTCTGTCCGTCAGCCTTGCGTGAGTGTGATCATTAACACGAGGGGTTATTTTCCACCTCGCGTGCCATGATCACCAGCTTTCACACATCCATTCAGCACAGTTTAGTTGTGCTTAGAGGTTTCTGCCGTGTTTTCATTCTTTGTAAGTATGATAGGAGAGGATGGATGCCAAGACTTAAAAAAACAAACAAACAGGCTTTAATAACCACAGTGTTCACGCATTCCGTAACTCTGATAAAATCTATTCTAGTGGAACAAAGTGTTTTCAGACGTCATCGATTTTTTTATGGGACTTGTTTTATTTGTTGCATATATCCGAGACTGAATTTCCTTAAAATGAAATTTCAAATGAGATTGCTTTTTTAAAAAAGTGAGAACTTTGTAGGAAATTAGGTAAAATTACATTTAGCGCAAAATATAAAAAATATTTTAAAACTCAAAGTGAGGAAAGTCTGTAGCCTGAACTTATTTCTGTAGTTAAAAAAACATTCGGGGATTTTATAGTCAGAGCACACCGGAAAAAAAACAAGGCCCAAGTAACCTCTGAAATTAAGCCTTTAGTTAATCATGTTTTCCTAACCCAAAATCATGATGCACGTTCTAAGAACACCACACCAGGTACTATTGGCCCGGAAGCCACCACCCTGAGAATGAAACTGGACTTTTTCTTCTGTATGAAAGAAGACTCCGTTTCCTCTCTGTAAACTGGAGACAGTGACAGAACTTTTCCCGCAGGATTTCTGTGAGAATTAAGTGAGGCTGTCCCTTATAAAGCACTTGGCCTGGCACCTATTACATGTTCAGTGATGTAGCTGCTTTAAAAAAATTATTTAAAGCTGAGGAGTTTAAGTTTGAAATGTAAGTTATAGGACCTGGCAAGTTAAAAGGTAGACTGCAGGGATTACAACAGAAGGCAGGAAAGCCAAGGAAAAGTCTGTAGTAATAATAAAGCACTGTCCTGGAATAAGGCCATTTCTTTCAGCATCATTTGTTATAATGTTGGTGAGATGCCACCACAGGAACCTAACTCTTGTTTGTATCAGTCAGCCTGTGGTAAAACTGGTTTCATTATACATCACTTCACTTAAAGTTGCAGAACCTTTAGCAGTGTGAAGTGAGGACTTACTGAAGACTAGAAGTGAAGTTCATTTGCTAAAATTATCTTATTAAACATCGTTTCATTCAGCACTCTGTGTGTTTCATCTCTAGTACAGTAGTTCTTTGCAGACCAAATGATGTTTGTCCTAGCGTTTGTTTCTTTTCAGGGACTTTAACTAATACTATCAAATGAACAGTTGCTAAAAATTTATCAGTCTGTGTTGCAGAACAGATGAAGTTCAAATTTCAGCTACTGTACACTTTGGAATGGTTATAAAAAAAGTTTAAACATATAGAACATTCTTTTCTAGACTGTGGGCCCCAAATAGTTGCACATCTGTGTCAGATACTCAGTGGAGCCACCAGATAGAGTGCCCTTCTTTCCTTTCGGCTTACTGTTAGAGCGCCCTTTATAATGAGCTGATAATGCACCGTCAAAAGGTCAGTAATTATAATGTAAAGATAGTCAGGAAATTAAGATTGTATCTATTTGAAATTGCCTTGACCTTTGCATTATATGTTTTTATTTATTGGATAAAATTAGAATTTGCATTAACTGTGAAAGATAAAAGAAGCCTTTTTAAAAGTGAAAAATTGCAGCACTTACAGGCACTTATCTTGTTGAGATAAGCACTTGACTTCTTATATCCATTTGCTATATGTGAAATTCAGCTAACAGCTGTATTTTTTTTTTCATGTTGTCTGGTGTGGTGTTAGGACTAATCCGTTCACTCTCCTGGTATAACATGATCTAAATGAGCTACTGCGGGAAACCTTAGAGAGACTGTCCTAATAACGTAGGGACTCTCTCACCTAAATGTACCGAGATAAAGCCAGCCTCGATTATTCAGGAAGCAGTTATCTCTTGAGATATGAGATTAAGTAAACATGCCCTCATCATTTTTGTAGTAGATTAACTCCACCCCTTATAACTTTAATTCACAAATTTTATTTTGCTCATGAGAACTAAGATGTTCTCATTTTTTGGTGACTTTGGTTCAGCTGAATACTCTCAATTTAATCCATGTCTTTAAAAATTCTCTCCAGTACCCCAGGTTCTTCAAAGCTGTACAGCGTTCATTGAGAGGTATGGCATTGTGGATGGAATATATCGTCTGTCCGGCGTTGCCTCCAACATCCAGAGACTACGGTAAAACCTTCTATGGCGGTTTTTTTTTTCATTCCTATTATAATTCATGAAAATGAAATATTTCAGAATTAAGTCTCTTACATTGATACCATAATTCCATAGGATAGTTTAGAAAAAGTAGGAAATAATAAACATACTGTTCTCTGCATATATTTTCCTAAATGCCATTCATAGTACTTGCATGTTGTCTCTACAGTTTTTGAAGATTTTAGCAAATTGAATTTGAGCCCATGACAGCCATGCCAGATGAAATTTACATTATAATAGAATTATGCTTTAGTTCTTAATGAAAATTGATGAGGGAAACTTTGTTTAATCTCCTCCGATACTGGTTGGATAGCGTATGCTCAGGTTCGCATGTGTACGTATTTCACACCCTCGCATTATCTTCCCAGACTAAAATCATGGTATCCTTTACACCAGCAGCACAGGTTTTATTTTTGCTCAATTTCTTAGATTCTAGTCTATTCTTAATGTGTTACTTTAATTTTCACTGTGGTGTGTGCAAATTGACATTTACTCTAGAGGGGTTTTAATGTTCTAATTGACCACAGAGCTCATCTCTGTGTGTAGGATATTGGAAAATACTGCAACTGATTCTTGTACTAAAGAGTTTCAGTGTTTACTTTCATAGGCAGCAAATCTCACTAATAAATCCACATCCACTAACCGTCTGGGTTGCTGAACGGTCTCATGTCTGTAGGTTAATGTTAGTTAACCTCCCAGAGCATTCTGAGCACAACTTTTTTTTTCGTTCACTTCAGTGCTACAGATTTCACCATCCATTAAAATTTGATGTTAGCTGGGAATTGGTTTATATTGTTTCTGGCTTTCTTACCCTTTAATAAACCGCTCCTGAACCATACGTCATGTGCCTGAGGGATTTCTGTGTGTTGTTGTTGATGGAGCAGCGGCCACTCAGTCCTAGTTTCCAGAATTGCCAAAATATCAGATATTCAGACCATTAGGAATTGAGCCCTGTGTTCAGATCTGTGCATTAAGAGCTGCTCTTTCATGGCACTTCAGAGACTGTTGTCCATTTTAATATTAAAGCTATGCCCTTAATTTTCACGTAGAAAACCACTTGTCTTAAGATCAAACACCCAGTTACTGCTGAAGTCCAAATACAGTCATTTGGAAAAAACATTAACTCACCGAGGTAGAGGTTAACACTTTAAGCCTATGCTTTCTGTTTTAAAGTCATATTCTTGCGCTTCCCTTAATAAAATAACGCTGTCACTCTGCTGTCTTTGTTAGCCATGAATTTGACTCTGAACATGTCCCCGACTTAACAAAAGAACCGTATGTTCAAGACATCCATTCTGTGGGCTCCCTCTGTAAGCTCTATTTTCGAGAGCTCCCCAACCCTCTGCTCACCTACCAGCTGTATGAGAAATTTTCAGTGAGTATATAAGTCACTTTTCAATCAAGTCCTGTTTGGAGTTTCGTTGTGGTTTTGTTCAAAATGTGTAAAAGTCATTTTGGTCACGTAAGAAATAGTTCCATGCCTGAAGTGTCTCCTTAAAGGAAGCAGAAAGACAAAAAGCAGTCATTGCTAGCTACTTCATAGTCTTTGCTGATTTCATACTTTTTCCCCCGTTTAGTTTCTGACTTTGAGCCACTGTTACCGATCGCACTTAATATTGGTCACCATAAAGTGCTTTGAAAACTTATCTTTTAATAGATTTCAATGTCCACACAGTGTGGGGTACAGTTCACTTCCTTGATACTACGAGGTGTTTCCTCCTCATTCAACGTCAAGGAGTAGATAGAGTCGTTTATCTGAGAGGGAAGACTGAATTGCGAGCGGAGAACTTTGATTTTCACCAACAAAGTCCACTGGCTTATTTCGCATTATGATGGTTGCAGGAGGCTGTTTCAGCAGCGACAGATGAGGAGAGGCTGATAAAGATCCACGACGTCATCCGGCAGCTGCCCCCGCCGCACTACAGGTGAGCCGCGCCCGGGCCCAGCCCCGCGCCCTCCTGGGGGCTCCTGGCTGTTTAAGTTTCCTGGGACTCCCACCTACTTAAAAACGTCCATTTTTCTGAGCATTTCTATCTGTTGGTCTGTGTATCCCCAGGGCCTCGCACAGTGTTTGGCATCCAACAGACATTTAATAAACATTGAATGAACTAGTGCATGACTGAATAAATGGATGGTTGACTAAACCTGTTCATTTGTTTTGAGACACTGAGAAATACTGCTGAAGGTACTGGGGTGTGTGACCACAGGCGTGCATGCTTTACCTGTGAATTGCCTGAATCCAGAATGTGGACACACTGCTGGGTGCCTGTCCGCTTGTTTCTTTTTTTCCAACCCTCTTTTGTTTTTTCAAAATGTATGAAGTCACATAGAACCACAAAGTCCAACACTTGTCTCAGAATTCTTCATGAGACTCTCAGATGACCTGTAAACCTGTTTTTTGTTTTTGTTTGTTTTAGGTTTTGTTATTGTATATTGGTTTTGTTGTTGCTACTTTTTAAAACCCACTTTAATTTGTATGTTAGTTTGGACTCTCAAATATTTTTGCCTATATTTGAGAAGACCAGAACAAAATTGGTGAAAGAAAAAAAACATATAAATTAAAGATTATATGCAAAAAAGTAAAAATAAAATTTTTAAATTTTAGTTATTGACAAGAAATTAAATTCACTAGATGTTTTTACTAATCAAGTAATTTAGTGCTGATTTTGGAAAAATGATATTGTTCACATACATATTTTTTAAATCAGCACTAAATTTGGCACTCAACACTAAAATTTTTAATCAACATTAAAAATCACATTTTAGTCAGCGTTATAGCTGCCAATTCATGATGGTCAAGAGCCAGAAGGTAACTTAGCGTTGACTCGTCCTATTAGTGCAGCCTGTGAGGAAATTAAAGAGGTTTAAGGATCCATGAAGAGTGAAACACACACACACACACCCTCTCAAAAGCGCTTTTGTGAAGCCAGCTTAAAAAATTTAGGTATTTAGCCCTGAAAAAGAACACTGAGGAAACAAATCTGATCAATACCAAGTTACTGAAGAATATCTTTAAGGGGAAGAGCACTTCTGTAACTTATCAGAAAAAGAAACCTAGTGCAGTATAAAGAATATTAACTTTGATAGACCTGAATTTGAATTTCTAGCTTTATCACTTACTAGCTCTGTGACCATTCTAAGCATCGACCTTCATATCTGTGAAAAGAATACTAATAATTCCTTCTTAAGAGGATTTTTTAAAATGTGAAAATGAGATCAGATGTGTGAATGAGCCTACCTGTTTTTTTAAATTCAGTGCCACAGGGTAGTAAAATATGATGTTTTATTTTCTTTCTTTATTTTTTAAATTGCTTTTAGAGGGAGGATGGGAGAGAGAAAGAAAGAACATCCGTCAGCTGCCTCCTGCATGTGCCCTGATCAGGATTCGAACTCACCACCTTTTGGTGTCTGGGACAATGCTCCAACTGAGCCACACTGGCTAGGGCCAAATACAGTATTTTAAAGGAAAAAGCACTCAGCAGGACGTAAGGATTAAATAACAATTTGGCACAGAGCTCTTAACTTAGAAACCACAGGAGATGTTGACAGCATTTCTCATGATAGGAGACATATGAAATAAGTTGACTACAATAAATGATTGGCTGAGATACTTTTGTATTTTAAATAAAAGACTGTGTCCCTTTCAGACCCCTTTTTGTCACGTCAGTGTCAGTACATACAGAACAATAAGGAAAGAACGCCTTTGTGGTTGCCAGTTGCTTAAATATTTACCAAGAAAGCACGATCACCTTTCAGTCAACCGACAGAGCTCGGCGCATGGCACCAAGGCAGGCCTCTCAGAAGTCAGCTGAAGGGCATAAAGTAGTTTAGGGAATCTGCACGCACCTCCCTCTGTTCCAGGGACCCTTATCCCAAGTCTGGCTTTCTCATAACCCATCACTTCGATTACAAAGCATTTTTTAAAATATAAAGCATAGCAAGACAGATGATTAGGGTTAAGCCATGATGTCATGGTAATTTTACAGGAGGTACCATGTAAATATATCTTTTTCTCTAAATTAAAAAAAAGATCGATATAACATGAGTGCAATGTTAAAAAGTAAATGGCACGCACAGCTGGCTGTGAAAGCGGCAGTTCCCTGCTCCGCACCGTCCCGTGTCTAACTGCTCTTTCCCAGAAGTCACTACTCAGCTGCCTTCTGGAGTGCGCGCCTGTGTTTCTGAGTAGCATGCTTATGTCGGCATTTCCTGACTTTTCACGTAGATGCCATATTTTACCTCTTAGGGTAAATGAAGATTTAGCTTTCTTCTAACTCCCGCCCTCCCCATCCAATACCACGTGAACACACGGTCCCTTCCCTCATTTCCATAGTCTGTAGTCACGTCAGCATTTGGCCTTAGGCCAGTATTCATGGCCTGCGTTGTGATAACTAGGTAACTTATTTACAGCTGCACCCAGTGGTACACTAGAATTACATTTCCTTTCTTACATACTCTAATATATGTGTTTCTGTGGAGTGATTGCCCATTTTTAGCTTGTTAGTTGCTATCACTCCAACAGTCCCAAACTCTCCAACAGAACTAAATGTTCTCTCGGTGTGCATGTATGTATTTCTCTTATGGTGAAGTACATATATTTATTAGCGGTGTTGCCTTATGACCTTGAGCAAGTTCATTTATCTCTGGGCTCACCTTCATTGTTTGTAAAATAAAGATTATAGTACTTTTCTCATAGGATTGTTACCACTATTAAAGGAAAAGCACTTAGACTAACAAGGCCTGTTAGACAAGTGCTATTTATATTAATTACCATTATTATTGTAATTATCTATTATGTATTTACTTCCTTACGTGTTTTATCTATACACACATATACATACAAATATAAGTGTGTATATCTCACCTATATCGCCCACTTTACTAATATATGCACAGCTTTTCTACTGTTTATCTACTCTACCGTAATTATATTTATATTTCCCCTATCGTAGTATATAATCTCCTTTATTATATATAGGTATTTCTCAAACTATATCGATACTTCCCATACTAAATTGTATGTATAGTTTCCTTACTATCTATTTAATCTTTTCTGTTGAACACTACAAGCCTTTTCCTGCTCTATATGATATATGGTACATATATCCTACACATGTTTCTTACATACACTGTATTGCCTGTTTCATATATAACCCCTTTAAAACACGCGCTCCTGAGGCCATGAATTCTGTCTTGTGTGTCACTGCATTCTCAGGATAGAATTTCGCACGTAGTACATGTTGTTTTAGTTTGCATTCCCTGTAAAATACATTTCTGAAGTACTTTACTGCTCCCCATTCCTTCATCTACTCCCCATTCCACGTCATGAAATTTTACATAGTTTTCTGCACACATTTTTCTAGCCTCTCACCTCTACACTGTCTCCAGGCCAGCCTCATTTCTGTCTGTCTATCTTTCTGTCCTTATTTAACTGTGTACAAGCGGGACAGAGAATGACCATCTTTACCGTAGAGTAGCTGCAGCAGATTCTGTTGAATGGGCAGAGACTTGGAGACAAACTGACCCTGACTTGAACCCAGACTTGCCTGTGTACTCTGGGGAAACCTTGGCTTTCTCCTCGGTAAATGGGCAATGGTAGCATTGTGCTTGGTAGGACTTTCGTGAGAATTAGGTGAGATTTCCTGTGAAAGTGTCTTGAACAAGGCCTCTAGCTGTTTTCCTTTGCCTCTCAAATTCATGTCAGGCTCATCTGAATGCTTAAGGCTCATATGTTCACCACAGTTTAACTGTAATTACTATTTCAAATAATAGTCTTAAACTTCTGCCTCCTACTTGTTGCCTTGAATAGTTTTAACTCCTGTACACTTAGGTAGACACTGTGAGAGATGTGGTAGCTGGTAGGTAATACTTATATGTGTTGATGTGATTTAAATTACCTTTAAGCTGATGGTGCTTTATTTCCAGAAATACTCCTCCCTGTTGTTTTATATCTGTCTATATACACCTCTCTATATATAGATCAATAGATAGAAATAAATAGATATAGATTATATTATATAGAGATTATATATAAATTGTTTAAATAAAGCAACCTTAGATGTTTAAGGTAAGCCAGGATACCTGGGATTTGGAGTAGGTTTTCTACTCCAAAAGCATATATTTGCTTGAATATTCTCCCCTTGGTGCCTGCTGGAATTTTTATTTTTAACTCTTTTTAGGCTTGTGAAACATTGTGTTTTCTTTTATAGAAGAAAAGCTTGAATCCTTCCTGTGAGCATATCTGCTGCAGGTAGAATAACATAACCTCATGAAATCACTTGTCTGGAAGCTGGAACGGAGGATTCATTTCACTATGTCTTGAAACTAGATGTCTGACAGCCAGGAGCAAATATTGCTAAAGATTTTTTAAAACTAAGGCTGTTTTCTCAGAGCCAGTCCTGTCAGAAACTTCTGTTTCTTGCCTTAGACGTTTCCCCAGTGTTCTGTAGATGTGGTTATTATACCTAGGTATAAAATTCATACGATTCTTCTGACAGTTCTGTAGTAATAACATTCAAATCTAACCAGTTTGCGGGGGTGTGTATGGTTCTTTTTCCATTTTGCCATTGAAAACCTACGAATTAATTAGTGAGCTTTTATGCTCTGCACTGCTACATAATTTTTTGTTGTTGTTGTTAATGTGCTGTATTTCATTTTCCAGAACACTGGAGTTCCTGATGAGGCACTTATCACTTCTAGCTGACTACTGTTCCATCACAAATATGCATGCAAAAAACCTAGCAATCGTTTGGGCTCCAAACCTGCTCAGGTAAATTGCATTTGACATAAGACCTTCAGTAGAACCCATCATCTTAGAATGTCTAATTCATCAGCGTTCCTTAACAACAGTTTTTTAAAGTAAAACTGATCTGTTGTTTTTACGAGTATCTCCCCAAAACAGGCCACTGGCACTTAGCCAAGGCACTGTTGCAGTTTGCTTTCTTCCTCTGGTTTGTCTGTGATTTACATGTTTTAAAAAAATGCCCTTTAAGACCGCTCTGTCTGTGACTAATGGGAATGCTGTCTACCCCACAGGTCAAAACAGATAGAGTCTGCCTGCTTCAGCGGAACAGCGGCCTTCATGGAAGTGAGAATTCAGTCCGTGGTCGTGGAGTTCATCCTCAATCACGTAGACGTCCTCTTCAGCGGGAAAATCAGCGCGGCCATCCAGGAGGGGGCAGGTGCGGCTCAAACAGATGGCGTTACGCCCAGGAGCAGGCACCTAGACTTCTAGGGCGGTGGAAGCCCACAGTGCGCTTCTCACCTTCGTGACTCTGTCTTTGATAGAAAGCAGCTAATTTATGTCCGTTTCCCAAAAATGCACAATTTAACAGTTATTTTGTGGGTACTTTGTGAATACTACATTTTAGACCTTTTGTGATCTAAGTTCATGACATGTTAAAAATTATATTGTGTTACTTATTATTGGTGGATATAAAGTCATAATATGGAGCAGCAGCAGAAAAATTCTTTCCAGAACTAAAAATACCTGAGTGATGATACCAGGCAAGGCCTTAAGAAAGGGAAATGGTTACGGTACTCAAGAATTCCGTGTGTGTGTGTGTGTGTGTGTGTGTGTGTGTGTGTTTGTGTGTGTGTGATCACTAACAACCTAGCAGGTCGCTTTCTGTTCCTCAGTTAGTATAAAGCACTATTATTTTTGCCATTTAAAAAACTTGATGAAGAAAATGTAAAACAAGACAGACACATGGATGGATAGACAGATAACCAGATTGATGTACACACGCACATATTTGTATTTTTTCCCCCCATGTGGAAAAGTTTGACTGTCTTTATTGTTTTCCTTTCTTTCCAAAGCTTCTCTGTCAAGACCCAAATCCCTGCTGATTTCCTCTCCATCCACCAAGCTGCTGACGTTGGAGGAGGCCCAGGCGAGAACACAAGCCCAGGTCAATTCTCCGATTGTCACCGAAAATAAATACATCGAAGTAGGAGAAGGACCGGCTGCACTTCAGGGAAAATTTCACACCATCATCGATTTCCCACTCGAAAGGTGAAGTTCACTGAATCCCATACGTGTGGTTTCGTGGCTGTGTGTTCTTTTTGTTTACTTCCACCTTCGCATTTCAGTATTGCCGCGCTGATTCTGGGCCAGCCCGGGAAAGCCTGCTCTCTTTGGAGGGTGGGCGATGCGTCAGAGGGGGTGACAGAAATCCTTCCCGAAAAGCACTGCGCCACCACGTGGTCTTAGACAGAAGAACGTCAGCTGTACAGGGAACACTGTTAGGAAAAACGATGCACATCTATAGAGGGTGTCACTTTTCTCTCGGAGATGCATTGTGTAGAAATTTGTTCAGAAGTGAGCTGCGTTGGAGTGGCTTATTCAGGAAGTGAGACGTTGGTCCCCCGTGAAGTTTAGAATAGACGGTGCTTCTTGCAGTGCGAGCGCCCAGCCAGCAGCACCAGCAGCCCCTGGAAGTTACCAGAAATGCTCGTTCTCAGACCCTACCCCAGGCCCATGGAATCTGAAACTCGGGGTGGGGCCCAGCAGTAAGTCTGTTACCAGCCTTCCGGGGGATGCTGGTGGGTGCTAACCTTGGGGGACCACTGCAGTTTCCTCTCGCAGTGTCCCTCCCAGCTCTGAAGTTCTGTTTCTCTAACGCAGGGGTAGGGAACATCCGGCCTGTGGGCCAAAATCATTTGGTCCGGCCCTGCCAAGGCAACCGCAGGTGGGACTCAAAATTCAATAAATCTAGGAGTTCTTTTTATAGCTAATTTTTAAGTCGATAATTTTGTATGGCCAATGAATGATGTTATAAATATCCCAATGGCCTCGGCAGAAAAAAGGTTCCCCACCCCTAAAGGAATGACTATAACATGGTTTTTGGGTTTTTTTACTAAGATATAGTAGGAAGACTAATGTATGCAAGTTAATTTTGGTATCTCCACCACTCCTTTGGCTATTACACATGAACATCAGGATTTCAGTTCCCTGGACTGGGTAGTGCTAATAACACTGGAGAATGTATTTCTTCCATCTTTCAGTCTACTTCTCTTAACTCCTTTCACCTCTCAGGACTAAAACGTCCTGATGACCGAAAGTTAGGACATACTGTTCCTTTGTCATTCTGAGTTTGTCTTCACTGTCTTTGAATTTATATTTTAGCTTCAAAATTTTCTCAAAAATCTCTTCCTAGAGAAGTAATCAGGAGTGTAGATACTACAAGACAGATAGACCTGGCTTCCAACCCCGACTCCATCATTGACTAATTGTGTAACATTCAGGAAGTAACTAAATTTCTCAGTGTTGTAATCTCCTTAGTTGTAAAATGAGAATGATAGTACCTACCTCGTATGGTCATATATAATTTAAGTGAGATATTGCATATAAGGCAGCACCGTGCCTGGCATGCAGTATTGTTAGTTACTACTCTTAATACATCATTTTTGGCTTAATTTGCTTTACTCACACCCAAAATAATTTTCTTTAACTCTATTTTTGGAGTTTTAATATTTCCTATTCCCAAATATGTGTTACTCTCACATATTTCCCAGATTGTGAGGTTAGATCTGAATCTGACAATCTGTATAAAAATTACCTTCGTGAAACTAATTACTGGTATTTAGTCGTATAGTTCAGCTGCGCGGTGTGGAGTGCGCTGTGTGGACGGCGGGTGTGGACTGCTCCAGCTGTTCCTCCCCTGGGTGTTTGGTTCTTTCCATCATTAGTTCGTTTTCTTTGAGTAAAGTTAGCCCTTTGGATATCTTGATACAGATTATTTTCTCTCTCATAGGAGGCGGCCTCAGAATAAAATGAAAAAGTCTCCTGTGGGCAGCTGGCGCTCCTTCTTCAACCTGGGGAAATCGTCGTCCGTTTCCAAGCGGAAGCTGCAGCGTAATGAGAGCGAGCCTTCGGAGATGAAAGCCATGGCTCTGAAAGGTCAGTGCCTCCCCGCCGTCCCCGCGGGTCACCTGCTCCTGCTGTCCCCGCAGCTCCTTTCTTACCCTGGATCCATACTCAACACTCTCCAATAGGATGTGTCCACAGTTGTGCTGCTACATGTGGATTGTCTTCTTTTACCAACTCTTTATTTCCAAGTACATAAATTACATATAAATACGTAGAATACCTAATTTCTTAGGAAAACTATATAGATTATATATTTTGTGAGCAGTTACAAATTAGCATCATACTTGTAACATAGCTTATATATTGTTGGTAATAAAAAGTAACTGCTGTGTTGTTTAAATTTATTAAGACACTGGCAGCCTCCAGAGTCTTAGGGAAGTCATATGTGTAAGAAAATACATTTCACGCGGAACCATAGCTATTAAAGGTTTGTGTAAGAGAGTTACGGCAGGAATTATCGGCTCATCTGGGGAGAGGTGCTAGTGGTCAGAAAATGTAACCTTCTGGTTATGTTTTGGGTTTTGAGGACTAAGTTGGGATTCCCGCCCGGGAAGCGGGAGCAGAGTGTGTGCTTGTCTGTGAAACGGGAACTCTAAGGAGCGTGGCTTCGTCGTGTGCCTGCAGAAAGAGGCTCGGGCTGTTGCGTGCTTGCCGCCGAGTTTTGGTTTGGTAACCCCCTGCACTCCTTGGGGGGTTACGGGATGGCTTCCATACGACACGTGGTCAGGCTGGGTTTACGAAAGATGACTTTGGCAGCAGTGTAAGGAAGAAGGTTAAGACTGGGGCCTGGACAGCAAGTTTTAGGAGACAGTCGCCGTCGCACAGGCAGGAAGCGAGCGTCGAGAGTAAGCCGTGGCTGTGGGGTGGGAAACGGGTGCGAGAAGTACTTAGGAAGCAGGGTCTGAGTGCGGGGTGACCAGGTGACTCTGAAGGATGAGAGAAGAGGGGGAACAAAGATAATTTTCAGGTTTTGGTTACACGGGAAGGGAGGGAACAAAAGAACTGTGCTCATTTTGGACACAGCGAGTCGGACATGCCCAGGAGGCGATTAGCAGTTGGGGTCTGGAGTTCAGTAAAGGTGTTCACACAGCTAGGCCTACGGGCCTGAAAGTCAGCAGCCGAAGCTAAGGGTGAAAACCCTAGAGAGAGACTTTATGGCCCAAGGAAGAGCCTGTTGAGTGAGAAGCAGGTTAGGGCCTGAATCCTGGAGAGAAACAGTGTTTAAAGGGCTGGGGAAGGCAGCGTCGTGGTGAAGGAAGAACGAAAGGTGGCGGGTGGGGAGGCAGGCAAGGACAGAGCTGAGTGCTCGCCGCAGAAATAACGGAGGGGGAGCTGCAGCCTTGAGCGCTGCCGGAGGTGAAGGACCAGGAAGACGTTTAACAGATCAGACCCAACCGGTATCATGAAAGTCCCTGTGTAGTTTTCTAGGGCTGCTTCCGTACTGGAGGCTAGCAGTCTGAAGTCGAGGTGTCACAGGGCCACGCTCCCACCAAAGAATCCAGCATGGATCCCGCCTTGCCCCTTCCAGCTCCGGGTGTCACTTGGCATCCTCGGCTTGTGGTGGCATCACTCTAGTCTCTGCCTCGGCCTTCCCCTGGCCTTCTCCTCTGTCTCCTAAAGGGATCCGCACCAGTCTGTGGGTGTAGGGCCTACCCTGAGTCCCGGATGGCATCATTCTGGTCCTCAGGAAACGCGGAAGGAAGGCATGTTTAAATTCACCTCTATTCTCAAGTCCATACTCCTTTAGAAAAGAGGTTTTCCATAGAGGCAGTCATTTGAGAACAATATGTAATATAATATGACGCTAAATTGAATACAGTTGTCAAAATGTGTAACCAGTCACTCCTGGAGGTTGAAGTACGTACAGAGGAAAAACGACTCCTCTGGCTGTATCTGCAACAGTGATGTTCAGTTTTCGCTCTCACACCATTCGGTTTTCACTCTTCAGGTGGCAGGGCCGAAGGAACCCTCCGGTCAGCCAAGAGCGAAGAGTCCCTTACTTCTCTCCACGCAGTCGACGGTAAGACTAAAAGCACCGCTTGTTTTATTCTACATTTCATCAAAGAACATAGCAATCGAGCATATTTTGTAAATACATGCTTAACAGATAGGCTATAGACCATCGTTTCTTAGAAATACTGTTATCTGTTTAGTATTTTCCACTGATGCTTTAATATGGTACCAGTTTCTGATTTCTCCACTTTTGACATAACTGCTATTCAGTTTGCTGTAAGAATAGGTGAAACGGTTTAAGTCAACCATTTATATTTATTAACGTCCAGTGGAAAATTGTATTATTAGTATTTCTTTAGATTTCGCAATTAGCGTACAGTATTACAAAGTATAAAATTAAGCAGTTTTGCTATTCAAACCAGTAGGTTTTATCTTGAAAAAGGTTAACTTAATGTTAAATTCCATAGATCACGTCAATTGCAGGCTGTACTCATTTGAGGACAGTTTGTACCAGGAGAAGGCAACTTAAAGTGAATCTTCTTAAAGTGGGCATCAGAATTTTATGCTAAATAATGCAAAAGAGTTTAATTGTAACTTGAAAAACGAAACTAAAAAGTTATGAAAATAAGTTTTAACTTCTGTTTAGTAAAAGTCACGTTATAGTTGCAACTGCATGCTAATTAGAATGGACAAAAGAGTATCTCAGTGTTGACTTGGAAGGAAATAAAACTTTTTTTTGACAAAGCCATGTAATAGCAAGTAAGTCATCCCTGACTTCAGTTTTGGCTTGTGCAGCAGGATTGTTAAGATGGCACTGTCTACAAAAACAACCAAGAGCCACATTGACTTCCCAGAGGCGTTTGCTGATCAGTTGATGTTCAGATATGCTCTTTCGAAGTGTCCTGGGATGTCATCGTCCTGGTTGATCTTTGCATCTTCATGTATTCACTGTTCTAACCGCCACGTCCTCACTGACCAGTGACTGTAGTTGTGATTCAACAAGCCCTCACACGTCACTTTAGTTGGGTGTCTAACATCTTATGGGTTTTCCAAGATTTTCCATTTCACTTTAGTTAAGAGAATGCTTCACAAAACGATGTAGGGACTGGGTAGATGCTAAAATTAAGCAGATAATAATATTTGAGTAGGGGTTAATTTTACATGTGGCCAATGCATTGGTGAATGTTTTTGTGTTGAGATAATTTCTGCCTCTTTGTAGTCCATTTTCAGTATGGCAGGTCTCATAATTGTAATGGAAAGCTGAGATAAAGGAGTCCTCTACCAGCTGGATGCTTAGCAATGTCATAAACTGTGTGATTTTCAAAGTCCTTTACCACTTTTGAGGACTAACTGTACCCGAGACACTTAGAGCCTACTTGTAAGAGAAAAAATGAAATTATTTTTGTTCAAGTATCTGAAAGGAATCCCTTACTAAATATATGTTAATGCTTTATAAGCTTGTAGAGGTTTTTTAATTGAGAAGTTTATTTTTTTAGAAATTTTGGTGTTATGAGGATTTTTACCACCAAAAACCACTTTTGCTGCTGTGTATCCAGAGTACTATTTAAAGTGATTGATTCTCCCTCACAAGTCACATGTGAGATCAGTGATAAAATAAGACAAAAGAAATAAAAAACTTGCCTGAAGTCACAACAAAAGTCAGCGTTGGACTAGTCATAGAACCCAGCAGTTCTGAGCCCCTTTTCCTGGTGACACCGTCAGCTGCTGCTTTCTCCCTCCGACTACATCGGGGTGTCTGTTACTTAGCGTGTAGTCTGGGAGCCCCATCCGTGTGCCCCAAGGGACAGTTACCTGAAAGGCAGTGAGAGGTGCCGTTTTCTTTCGCGGTGGGTGCTAAGGAGGCGACTGTTGTGCTCCTGTGGCTTCACACTTAGGTACTGTTGTCCATTTACCAGGTGACTCCAAGCTGTTTCGGCCCAGGAGGCCCAGGTCCAGCAGCGACGCCCTGAGCGCCTCTTTCAATGGAGACATGCTGGGGAACCGCTGCAACTCCTACGACAATCTGCCCCACGACAACGAGAGCGAGGAGGACGTGGGGCTGCTGCACATTCCTGCCCTGGTGTCTCCGCATTCCGCCGAGGACGTGGATTTGAGCCCACCGGACATCGGAGTCGCCAGCCTGGATTTCGATCCGATGTCATTTCAGTGCAGTCCTCCCAAGGCCGAATCGGAATGTCTGGAGAGCGGTGCTTCCCTTTTAGACCCTGTAGGGTACTCCAAGGATAAACTGAGTACAAATAAGAAGGATACGGAAGCAGCTGGCAGCCAGTCCCAGACCCCGGGAAGCACTGCGAGTTCTGAGCCTGTGTCTCCTCTTCAGGAGAAACTGAGTCCATTCTTTACCCTGGACCTGAGCCCAAGTGAGGAGAAACCGTCTAAGCCGACCTCATTCACCGAAAAGGTGGTCTATGCGTTCTCTCCAAACATCGGGCGGAAATTAAGCAAATCACCTTCTATGAACATATCTGAGCCAATTTCAGTGACCCTTCCCCCTCGGGTGTCGGAAGTCATGGGTGCAGCCTCCACCACAGCAGCCCAGACCGGATCCCCTCCGTCCTGGAACACAAGTGTTGACGAAAGCACCGTCGTAAATAGATCCCCTACCCAGGTAGGAAAGACGAAGGCAAACGAGAGAGAGGCCCAGGAAGGACATGAGTGTGAAGTGCAGCCCCTGGACCAGGCGGCGGCTGCGGAAGCCGAGTCGCCAGGAGAGGAGGAGCAGTCCGTCTCCAGCAGTCAGAGTAAGGCTGTACCTTCTGGACAGACTCAGACAGGTACCATTTGTTTTCCTCCGTTCTTTCTTTAACTAAGAGGGATCTCCAGTTCCGTGTGCCACCTGTGCCTTTTAGGAGAGAGATGCACTTCACACCTACCCTTTAATCAAAGAGAATGTGTTGCTGGGTGGTGCTGATGGCTCAGCCTTAAACTAAAGTCAGACAAAAACTCCCCGAAGGGCCAGTGGTCCTGCGTCCGAGCTCCGTAAAGCCCCCTTATCTCTGGACAGTCAGAAATTCATGGATGTTTTTGCACAACTTCGTAGCTCTTGATTCTGTTTTCTCTTCTAATAAAATGCCTGTATTTTAGCCTTATGTGTTAACCAGCCAGCCTACACATCAGATGTAAAAACTATCCTAAGCCATCTGCAAGCACTTGAAGCTTGTTTCCTAAGCAGTCTTTTCTGAGCCAGATGAGGGACCTGCCTTCTGTAGCAGTTCAAGAGGAGATCGCAGTCCCTCAGCTCTGTTTCAGTTTTCCTCTGAGCCAGATGTTTCCAGCAGTTGCATGTGGGATAGAAGATCGTGGATTGCCACTTTGAAATATGGAAGGCACCTATTTTTTTTAGTGATCAAATGGGGAGTGTTGGCTTTCCATATATAGGATAATACAAGCTACCTTTTCACTCTCACTTTTTTTCCCAATTTCCTACCAGGAGCAGTTACCCATGACCCCCCTCAGGACTCCATCCCTGTCAGTTCAGTCTCTCTTATCCCACCACCACCGCCTCCGAAAAACGTTGCCCGCCTGCTGGCGCTGGCATTAGCCGAGTCTGCTCAGCAAGCCTCAGCTCAGCCGCTGAAGAGGCCGGGAACTTCCCAGTCTGCTCATGCGAACTATGCGGACATGGCAGTGGCCGCAACTGATGAGAAACTGCCTAGTTCCTATACTCATGTTACTCTAGATAAAGCCTATTTCCCAACTGATAGGCCTGAAGAGCACTTTCTCCCCCAGAGCAGTGCATCTGGGAACTGTGACCAGCTCTTGCCTGACCCGGCCACTGTTGGGGACAGCACCCATTCCAATGCCCTCGAATCCGGGCAGCAGCTCCACCAGGCCGACTTCCAGCCCCCTCGCACCTATGCATCTGGGGACCCAGAAAAGGCCAGAACCGCTTCAGTTCCCTTAACAGACTCTAAGTCTGACGATCACATAAGTTTCCCAGAAGAGCAGTCTGGGAAGGCCATCGTGCCAACCGTCTCTTTCGCGGATCAGGACCAGTGTCAACTTCACTTCTACAGCAGAGATCAGCCGCCTTCTCATCTTGGAGCAAGCGTGGATAAGCCCCACCACCCCTCACAGCTTGCAGACAAACCTCCCACGCCGTCTAATGCTTCTAGGGACAGAACCTACCCTCCTCCTGGGTCCCCTGAGGAGAACACCAGCACAGCCACCCTGGCGTACATGACAGTGGCTCCAGCAACTGCTGAAATAAGTGCCAGGGAAGCCAACTGGGATGCGACTGAACCCACCGCGGCTGACTTTTCTGCCACCACCCTTCAGCGTCCTCACAGAACCCCCCGGCCCCTTCCCCCACTGCCTCCTTCCCAAAGACCAGCAGAGCAGTTACCAGTTGTGGGGCAAGTACAAGCAGCCGCCAACATAGGATTAAATAATTCCCACAAGGTAAGAAGGGGAGAGAGTCAGAGAGATGAAATATACTTTTCTCAAAGGTATGTCACTTTTCCGCAGGGTGTGTTACCTGGGAGTCGGACACAGTGTTTACTTTTCAGTCTTGGGGCAGGTTTTCGTGAAGCATTTCCCATCAGAGGTTGGAATCTGCCTTTTTCCTGATGCTGGCTTTCTCTGAGAAAGGAGCATTGCACAGTGGCTGTGGTACCGGCCCCCTGCTCCCTTCCCCAAGCATCTGGGTGGTTTCTTCATGGTGATACAGAGAGAGGACAGTCAGATGAGTCACACTGGGCTTCAGGTGTCAGGGCTGCAAGGTTTCTTCCCAACACCACCGCTGACTCAGGTGACTTTGGGCAGGTCATTTAGCTGTGTCTGCCAGTTATTTCTGTCCGCCCAATACAGGTGCTTTATTCTCAGAAGTGTGAGATCACAGGGCTTTTTGGTTATTTTCTCAACACTAACCAGCAGATTCTGTTTTAAGCACTTGTTTTGATGAGAGAATGTTGAACGCAAAATGCTAAGGATTCTTCCTAATTTTCTCATATTTTAAAAAGTGCCCCAGGTGTTTTGTGATCACCTTGAGCTAAAAGTACTTCACTGTCTTGTCTGTAGTAGAGGACACTGTTTCCAGCAGGTGCTTCTCAGGGAGGGCTTATTTGCAGTGCTGGCCTCTGTGGCCCCGGACCAGGGCAGGGTGGAAGGCAGGGACTGGTGGGACTTCAACGCCACCTGGGGGCTTAGCCTGCCCACTTCTAAAATCTCTCCAGAGAGAATCGACACTCTTTATTTAACAAAGTGTTCTTGGTGTTACTGAGCCTGGGCTAGACAGATAGACTGCATATGTATTTTTAAGTGTGACTGTTACTTGATTAAACCTCTGTTTTGGTCTATGTGTTAAGATAATGTCATAGGCAACCTCATCTCTCATTTAAAACCAGTCATAAATTAGAACAGTCCTCAAGATGGACATGGCTGTGGCACCATATTGCTGTACAGGCCATTTCCTGGCTGTGAGGACAGGTGGCCTGCTGTCCTGTCCAGTGTGACCACGTGGTTAGGAAATTTCAGGCTGCTCCTCAAATAGCCTCAACTTGTGAGTTATAAATTTAATAGTGTTGATTCCATAGAGGGGAGCATAGAAAACAAACTCATGATATAATTTTTCAATAGGTTCAAGCAGTTCCAGTTCCAGAGAGGCCTGAACCCAGAGCCGTGGACGACCCTGCTCCTGTCCTTGTCAGCGACTGTGGAGCAGCGGCTCAGTGTCCCGCCTCTGCTCCCACTCTCCAGCCGGGCCTCCCGGAGAAGGTGCGGGAAGGATCCCGGGCCCCACCGCTGCACCTGCGCGCAGAGCCGGTCCCCATGCACCACCCCTGTGGCTTTACGGTCCCGGTCCCCCCCACCAGGACCATGGAGAGTAAAGTTGCGGCTGCCGTTCACCCCAGCAGTGCAGACGCGACCAGTGGTTCTGGCTTCTACCCCTTTGCCGCTGCTTCCTCGGCCACTGTGGACGACGTCCTGCCTTTACCACTTCCTGTCCCGCAACCGAAGCACGCTTCTCAGAAGCCCAGCTACGCCACCTTTGCTAGGCCTGATGTTACCCCTGAGCCCTTTGGTCCAGAAAACTGTGTGCATTTCAGCATGACTCCAAACTGCCAGTTCCGACCCCAGAGTGTACCCCCACATCACAGTAAACTGGAGCAGCACCAAGTGTATGGCTCCAGATCCGAGCCACCGGCCTCCCTGGGTCCTCGTTATAACACGTACGTGGCCCCGGGAAGAAGTGCACCTGGACACCACTCCAAGCCTTGTAGCCGGGTTGAGTATGTGTCGTCTCTGAGCTCGTCTATCAGGAGTGGTTGTTACCCTGAAGATATCCCACCGTACCCGACCATCCGGAGGGTGCAGTCCCTCCATGCCCCTCCGTCCGCCGTGATTCGCTCTGTTCCCATTTCACGGACGGAGGTTCCCCCTGATGACGAGCCCGCCTACTGCTCCAGGCCCCTGTATCAGTATAAGCCATATCAGTCCTCCCAGGCCCGCTCGGACTACCACGTCACTCAGCTGCAGCCTTACTTTGAGAATGGGCGGGTCCACTACCGGTACAGCCCGTATTCCAGTTCTCCCAGCTCCTACTACAGCCCCGACGGAGCCCTGTGTGACGTGGATGCCTACGGCACCGTGCAGCTGAGGCCCCTTCACCGCCTGCCCAACCGCGATTTTGCTTTCCACAACCCTCGGCTGCAGGGGAAGAACTTGTACGGTTATGCTGGTTTGCCCCCACGTCCCCGGGCCACCGGGACTGGCTACTTTTCCGGTAATGACCATAACGTAGTCAACATGCCTCCGACCACCGAAGTAAAGCACACTTACACCTCGTGGGATTTTGAGGACATGGAAAAGTACCGCATGCAGTCCATCCGGAGAGAGAGCCGGGCTCGGCAGAAGGTGAAAGGGCCCGTTATGTCCCAGTATGATAACATGACCCCAGCTGTGCAGGAGGACCTGGGTGGGATTTATGTCATCCACCTGCGCAGTAAATCAGATCCTGGGAAAACTGGACTCCTCTCAGTGGCGGAGGGAAAGGAGGGGCGGCACCCGGGGAAGGCCCTCAGTCCCGAGGGCGGGGATCGCTTCTACAGGAAGCATCCCGAGGCCGAGCTCGACAGGGCCCATCACCACGGGGGGCATGGCAATGGACAGCCAGAGAAGCCGTCCCTCCCACAGAAGCAGAGCAGTCTCAGGAACCGGAAGCTGCATGACATGGGCTGCAGTCTCCCTGAGCACAGGGCACATCAGGAAGCAAGCCATAGGCAACTGTGTGAATCAAAAAACGGGCCACCTTACCCCCAGGGAGCCGGCCAGTTAGATTATGGGTCCAAGGGGAGTCCAGACGCTTCCGAGCCCGTCGGCTACCATAACTCTGGAGGGAAGTACGTGACAGCCGGGCCGGAGCCTCTACGACTGAACCACAAGGAGGCGAGGCTCTCCAAAGAGCTGGAGAGGCCTCGGGCCCGGCAGCCTCCTGCCCCAGACAAGCACTCCAGGGACTGCTACAAGGAGGAGGAGCAGCTCGGCCAGTCCGCAGTCCCGCCCCCGAAGCCGGAGAGGAGCCACAGCCTGAAGCTCCATCACACCCAGAGCGCGGAGAGGGACCCGGGCGTGCTGTTCCAGTACCAGGCACACGGCCGGCGCCAGGGAGGCATGACGGCCGTGTCCCAGTACGACAACCTGGAGGGCTACCACTCCCCGCCCCAGCTGCCGCGAGGAGGCTTCGGAGGAGGGGCCGTGGGGGCCTACGCGCCCTCCGGCTTTGCCCACGTGCAGAACAGGACATACGCTACAGCCTTGGGGCAGGGGGCCTTCCTGCCCTCGGAGTTGTCCTTGCAGCATCCTGAGACCCAGATCCATGCAGAATGAGCCCTGAGAGCAATAGAGTTGAAGCAGCCTCTGCTGGACAGCGGACTGTTCTATTTTTTTTCAGTAACCAAAAAGATTTAAAAAAAGGAAAAAGTTACAAATCCCCTGACCGCGTTAAAAAACACACAAAAACAAAAAGTCAGTAAGGAAAATAAATCACCACCTTTTCCCCTTCCTGTTTCATTGCCACCTCTAGAGACTCATTTTTGTCATTAAAAGAGATCTGAATGATTGTAAAGCCCTGGGTTGAAAACCTAGCAAGGAGCTTTGTCGCAGAGCACAGCGGCCACGTAGAACTAGTGGTAGGAGCCTGAGGACTGCCTGGACCTGCGTTTGGATCTGACTTGGTTCTTAGTACTTGCTGTGTAGTTCAGAGCACTTCACACCTGTTTCCTGGGAGGATTTTGCGCTTCTTTGTGTTCCTACCGACTTCTCCAGCTTGCCCGGGCTGACGCTCGGTTTTTCTCCCCTCATTCTCTCTGTCGTGTGTTAAATCCGAACAGAGAAAAACTCCCCGGCCCTTCAGATAAGTCTGTTGAACATTTAGCAAATTATAACTAAAAGCAAAGGAACTAAGGCTAAGCACTTAATAAGGAGTCGTTGTAAAATGCCAGGCCATGCAGACCCAGGCTGAGCCGTGTCCTTCACGGCTCCCTTTGCTTAGCTGCTGCTCCGCGTTCAGCGAACAGGCGCAGGTCCCCGTGGAAGAGGCCTCTCGAGGTAGAATTGCAGGCGTGCTCCGGCGGCCGCCGGCTCTGTTAGCACCGGAGAACTGCGTCCGGGCTTCCAGTGTGCGGCCCGCCTTCAGTTACTCCTTTTCTTAATAACATTTGGTAAATTGTAACCCCAGTAAAACATTTCACACCATGTGTTTCCCTAAAGCAACTTTTTTCATTAAAAAAATAAAAACCAACAGCAGCGCCAGCATGGTTTGACTAGATAAACCCACGTAATTGATCATAGTTACAAATTTACATGTTGATTGGTTTCTAAACCAGACCGCAGCTTTCCTGGGAGTCCTTACAGGAGCCGTGTGCGTGTTACCTGTTAGCGAAGCTGTAGCACCCGCTTAGCGCACAGCCCGGTTCACCCGCTGAGTCCTGGGCCGCGGCCGTGTCTGTCCTTAGGGAGAGCGGCTGTTGTCCCCTTCTGCGGCCACAGTCCACTGTAATTGCCGTCTTCACCAGCATTTCAGGTATCGCTCTGAGAACTGCAGACATGTTACACATGTCCCACACCCAGGACTTTCTTTTGAAAGTTGCATTCCTGATTCGAGTTGGACTAGACACCTCTAGCCCAACGCAATTCCGTTTTCTCCACTCACCCCAGACGTACGGGCCAGGCTGGCAAGGCCGCTGCACTTCCAGGGCGAGTCCAGATGGTCATTTCATTCCACAACTCTTCGTAACACTTGATTTTTATACATTCTCACCTGGGGAATTTCATTCCATTTCCTGGATGGTTGCTGCTCTGGCTTTTTAAAACTTGGAATTAACTTTTATTTAGAGCAAAGGAAGAAATCTTTTCAGAGGCTAAATTTATGCTGCTATTCTTGCTGTGAATTTGTATAAAGATTAGGAGTCACGCCAGTTCTCTTTTTATTTAAAAACCTGCGATTGCATTTTAAGGGTTTATATTTAGAAAAAGAAATAAAGTTTTAAGAACAACACATTTATTTATATGTGAAAATACTCCCTAAGGATTTCCTTTGTTCCCCCAGAATTGATCAGAGGGGTTCAGCCAGGGTTGTGGTAGGAATCCTGAAACACGATATGTAAGGAGGCCTGTGGAGGTTCAGGCCTTTAGGTTACTAAAGTGCAGGCCCAGCTGGTATACAGTCACAGGGTTAGGAACCTGGGAGGACACCCCCCACGCAACACCGGGCGCCACATGCAAGAGTTTGGTCGATGGTGAATATACAGCACTAATTTTTTTTTTTTTTTTTTTTTTACCTTCACCATCTTTTTATCAAGTAGGCAGCCCATTGCCCTTTAAGATCACACAGCCCTGTAATTCTCACCAGCAGCGTGGCCATTGGAAAGGACACACAGGTGGCTTTAGTAACAGATTTTTTTCTCAATATTGGGTAAACTGTAATCCTCATAAAACATTTCACACCATTTGTTCTCCTAAAGCTACTTTTTTTTTTTCCATTAAAAAGAAAGAACTTAGAAGGATGAGAGAGTCCAGAAGGATGTGGCAGAAAAAGTCCTGTACCGTCTTAATATTTGTGGGTTTGTCGTCACACACATTTACCCCTGAAACTGAAGTCTTTTATAAATACTACGGTTAATTCCTCCAAGCGATTGCTCCGCTGACGTCCCATGGGCTCAGCCATATCAGGTAAATATTTTGGTTACAGAATAAATGACTCAGATTACCGGTGCGAGTGTGAAACACGGACTCCGGGTAAAATCCAGAGTCGTTTCACTTGACGTGTGTAGATACAGCCTTAACTTTGGAGTTTGTAGTTTAAGGGACTTTGCCCGTGTCTTTCCCTTTCTAATGCTGTCAGGTAGAAATCGGATGGCACATCACTGTGAGCCAGTTACCTCAGTATAGTTCACCTGTGCGGCGTCACAAATGAGTAGTGAAAGGCTGTCACTTTCAAATGGTGACGCGGAGCATTATGATCAAGGAGGTGGAGCTGCCTTATGCATCAAACCCATCCTGGTATTGGTATTTCCATAGTCGTGTCTCCAGGTTTTATCTTTGGCAAGATTCCGATGCCACGGTGTGGCCTGACTGAAATAAACCTTCCTGGACGTCTGGCCGGAGACTTTGCTGACAGCCCCAGAGGTGCCACTCTTTCATTACTAAATTCCATCTGAGCCTTACGCATCCTTGTATTCAGTTTCCTCTTAAAATGCAATCCCCGGGTGGTCCCAAGGACAGGCCTGCACATTATAAAACGACAAAGCATTTTTTTTAAAAGGTAGGGTCAGGTTGAAAAATTCTAGGACTCATTCTGTGAAGAGGGACCACTGATGTGAATGGAGATGGAGCAGGTCAACACACCTGACGCAGCAGCAGGTGCATACAGTGTAAGTCTGAAATCTGCCCCTTTAGTTAGCGAAGGAGCCCGCAAAGTTTGTGTATCTGTTCCCAGCCCTGCCAACCACCCATCCATCCAGTATCCGCAAAGTACTGTCCGAGCTGTGTGTGTAAGGAAATGAGAGAGCAAAAGCACGTCAGAAAGTTACGCCCAAGTGGTTAGAGGCATGTGACTCTCAGGCCTGCGTACGGAAGCATTTCGGCTGCGAGGGGGATGCTGTGCTCACGGGCTGTTTTCCTTTCCCGATTAGTACCTTAGGGTTCAAAGATTAAAACGGTTGTTTTACAGTTTAGGTTCTAAGGTAGCAAAACCTGATTTTTCAACCACGACCTGCATGAGAGAAGCATCCTAGGAGGTCTTAGACCATGCTTTTGAGTTCTTAATTTTAATTTATATAGTGGTTTTTTTATGTTTTAATATTTTTGTGAACTGGTGTAAATTGTTAATGCATATAAGCCTGTGTATTTTTGTAAATAGTTTTGTGATTTATTTCTTGATCCATCTGTAAATATTTAGAGTCTCATTTCTTTAAAACTCATTTCAAGCTGAGTTGTGGGTTCGGGGTTCTGTTTGCTTCTTTGTTTTGGCTGGGGGTGGGGGGAGAGACGGGATTTTGTACTCTGGTCATCCAGACGGAGAAATCTGTGGTTTCGAGCAAATGTCCCCCTGAACGCAATTCAAATTACAAAATTATTTCAGGTTAAAACAGACTTCTTTGCGTGTGTTTCGTTTTTAACCTAATACGGATTATAACAAACTAGATGGGCTGGTCGGGGGCATGCAGACCAAGTCATCTGTGTTTTTACGACAGATGATTATTGCAGACCACGTGTCACTTGGCAGAGGGGTTAGCGTCCCCCGCGGGTAGTGTGTAGCTGCTGGCCGCAGGGCGCCGTCTGGCCAGACCCTCCCCGGGACAGACTGGGCCCTGGAACTGAGGCCCCCTGGGCAGCCTCACCAGAAGCCGCGCGGGCCCCACACCTCGGCTGCCCTGGGGACCCAGGCCTGCCGCCTGGCTCAGCGCTGGCTGTTCTCGCCAGGCAGGGGCTTCCTGATGGCTCAGGATCCCCCGGGAGGGGAGTCTGAGTAACAAGCGCATTTCTGAAGATTCCCACAGAGCCTCTCGGATCCTGTTTGCTTCTCAGAGCGTGGTGACCAGGAAAGCACCATCCCTTGTGCTAGGTCGCCAGCAGCAAGCTGGTTGGGGGAGGCCCAGGTAACGTGTTTCCATCAGGCACGTGCTGCAAGTGGCCCAGCCGCCTGCGGGGTTTCGAGCGCCTTCCTGCGCCGCGTCCTCAAAAAAAAGAAACATTTGCGTATCAGCCAGGACTTTTGGAAGGAAAAAAGAGCCACACCCCTTCGATAGTAAGCTACTGAAATCCTAGTTTTCTTACTGGAAGTCATAAATTACAAACCATTCTTCATTCTAAAATATTAGAGTGTTTTGCCAGAAGTAGGGGGAGCTGGTTGCCTGTGTGTCCAGGTGACCCCGGGGAGTCAGCCATCCTTTACCCACTGCCCACCACACTCCAGACCTTACGCAGAGATGCAGCATCTGCCTCAGGCAACACCCCAGACCTGGGCAGCCTCCTGGGGAAGCTCGGCTGGGACTGAAGAAGAGATGTGTGGCCACTGCCTGTGTCTTCTGTTTAATGTCCTGGGACTCTCATTTCCATGACCAACTATTTCATCACCACATTTCCTTTATACGGATGAAGATGCTGTATGTGCCCCTCCAGGTGTGTATATTGCATGCGTGGGGCAGGTGCATTGGGGGAGTTGGGAATTGTAACCGTCCGTGGTCCCGGGTAAAAAGGCGCATTTTGAAGTAGCACTGACCCCACCCCAGTCAAACGTTGGGCGCCCGCGGCCACCTGAGAGGACATCTACCCGGCCTGTTCCCCACGTAGTTGAGAGTGTGCCTCTTAAAAAGGGAATTGTGAGTTCAATTCTTACTGGAAGTATTTTAATGAAAATGTTCCCAGGATATATTTCAAACCACACACTTAGGCTGTCAGCACACCTGGAAGTTCATTTATGGCTGATCACTCATGTGGTGACGCCCTCGGGACGCTGACCTGCTCTCACCCGCGGCGCCCTCGGGGACGCTGAGGTGGAGGAGTGCCGCTTCTGTGCCAGGGGCGCCACCACCACTGTCCCCTTGCGTTCTCGAGTTATCTTTTAAACTTTTCCTACATCCTTTCTGCTGCCACTCGCTGTCGTCTGTGAACCAGCTGTAAACCTTCCTCCAAATAAACATCTGGAATAACCGAGCTCGTGGAAATGTGAGCAGCAGTTGTGAGGTGGGGCCGAGAGGTTGGGGCCTCGTGGGGCACAGCCCCCCGCTCCCCCAGCAGTGCCCGGGCAGGGGGTCAGAAGGCGCCGGAACCTGGGTCGCGCAGAAGGGGGAGGAGACGGGGAGGCCTCCCTGCGCGTGACGTTTTGTGAGGCCGCTGCAGGGTGAGACGCGATGACACGCTCCACGTTAGTACCTGCGACGCGATGACACGCTCCACGTTAGTACCTGCGACGCGATGACACGCTCCACGTTAGTACCTGCGACGCGATGACACGCTCCACGTTAGTACCTGCGACGCGATGACACGCTCCACGTTAGTACCTGCGACGCGATGACACGCTCCACGTTAGTACCTGCGACGCGATGACACGCTCCACGTTAGTACCTGCGACGCGATGACACGCTCCACGTTAGTACCTGCGACGCGATGACACGCTCCACGTTAGTACCTGCGACGCGATGACACGCTCCACGTTAGTACCTGCGACGCGATGACACGCTCCACGTTAGTACCTGCGACGCGATGACACGCTCCACGTTAGTACCTGCGACGCGATGACACGCTCCACGTTAGTACCTGCGACGCGATGACACGCTCCACGTTAGTACCTGCGACGCGATGACACGCTCCACGTTAGTACCTGCGACGCGATGACACGCTCCACGTTAGTACCTGCGACGCGATGACACGCTCCACGTTAGTACCTGCGACGCGATGACACGCTCCACGTTAGTACCTGCGACGCGATGACACGCTCCACGTTAGTACCTGCGACGCGATGACACGCTCCACGTTAGTACCTGCGACGCGATGACACGCTCCACGTTAGTACCTGCGACGCGATGACACGCTCCACGTTAGTACCTGCGACGCGATGACACGCTCCACGTTAGTACCTGCGACGCGATGACACGCTCCACGTTAGTACCTGCGACGCGATGACACGCTCCACGTTAGTACCTGCGACGCGATGACACGCTCCACGTTAGTACCTGCGACGCGATGACACGCTCCACGTTAGTACCTGCGACGCGATGACACGCTCCACGTTAGTACCTGCGACGCGATGACGTGCTCCACGTTAGTACCTGCGACGCGATGACACGCTCCACGTTAGTACCTGCGACGCGATGACACGCTCCACGTTAGTACCTGAGACGCGATGACGCGCTCCACGTTAGTATCTGCGACGCGATGACGTGCTCCACGTTAGTACCTGAGACGCGATGACGTGCTCCACGTTAGTATCTGAGACGCGATGACGTGCTCCACGTTAGTATCTGCGAAGCACTCCCCCGTGCGAGGGGCTGGCTCACCCTCGCATCCCCCCAGGAGGGGCTGGCTCACCCTCGCACCCCCCCAGGAGGGGCTGGCTCGCCCTCGCACCCCCCCCAGGAGGGGCTGGCTCGCCCTCGCCCACCCCCCTAGGAGGGGCTGGCTCGCCCTCGCCCCCCCCCCGTATGAGGGGCTGGCTCGCCCTCGCACCCCCCCGTATGAGGGGCTGGCTCACCCTCACACCCCCCCAGGAGGGGCTGGCTCACCCTCACAGCCCCCCAGGAGGGGCTGGCTCACCCTCGCACCCCCCAGGAGGGGCTGGTTCGCCCTCGCATCCCCACGCAGCTCTAGTGGGGAGAGAGAGAAGAGCATCGCGCACGCCCACGGCCTCACCCGTCCTCGAGACATCCGGGGAGTGTCCTGAAAACGTGCGGAAGGGCAGCCTGAGGCTTCTCAGCTGCTGGTTCAGGCGTTAACGGGGCAAGTCGTTGCCCAACTTGGGACTCGCATAAGGGCCTGCAGAGCCAGGGGCGGGCGCTCGGGCAGCCGGCGGACTGAGGCAGCGGGTCTGCCGCTCCGGCCGCCACCCGCGCGGTCCGGGCACGCGCGGCTGAGGAGCACTGCTCAGGGAGCACTCGGCAGGCCTCTCTCAGGGGGAACCGCCTCTGGTTACTTAACTTCCCCGCTTTTTCTCATGTGCCCTGGTTCCCCGTCGCTTTAGTGATACTGGAACAGGTTATTAATTTCTCTGTCCCCAGTGTTTAAATATTAAGTCCAGGTTCAATTATTTAAAACAGTGACAGAAGTTAGGACTGAGCTGATGAGCAATATAAGAAAACATTCCCTAAAATGTAAACAAAATACCGACAGCCGTCTATACGACTGACTCCACTTACATACGCACGTAGTTGAGTCCTTGGGGTGTAGACACAGGCTGGCGGGAGGTGAGTTAATGCATGTTTACTCTTCTGGCGGTCAGCTGTTCAAACACCGTGTCCATGGAAAACACAACTCTTAGACGCAGGCGGCATGTCTTCCTTTCTCACCCCAACTTTTACACGAACTGCTAGCACAGAATTAACTTACTTGATTTGACTTTAGTTTTAAGAATTTTATCAACGGCAGTGTTTTAACAGCACCTGACCACTACTGGCCCTGTGCTTACTCCACTGCAGTGCCGGTCCCTGTTGCAAGCATTTTACATCCATTAACTCGCCTCTCATAACCCATGGGTGGGGCCGAGGTGCACGGAGATAAGGTCTTGGCCACTGTCACACGTGGTGAGCGATGGGGCCCAAGTCCAGGCCGAGGTGCTGGGCTCCAGCTCACGCTCTAATCAGAGGCTTTAGAATGGGGAGTCGCAAAGCTACTAAGGCCAAAACCTTTGCTGCTCTGCTAAACCTACCGCTGTTCCTAAGACTCTCACTAAGCCGGGGCCTTTCCGTCCCTAACACGGGAGGAATAACCTTCCTGCTACTTAGGGCGGCTTGGAGGACAGTTAGTACCTGTTTCTAAGGGCTCCGCGGGAGGACGGGCACCTGGAGGTTATCCAGGCCTTTGACCTTGACATGGTGCAGCCGCACAGCAGGGGAAGATTTTTCTTACGAAATTGCATCATGAAGGATTTAACCAGCCGGGCCAGCTCCCGAGAACCTGCAGTGTCCCCTCGCTGACGGGGGTCTTGCAGGAGGCGCCTCGGCCAGTAGGGATGCGAGACACAGTCAGTGGTTGAGATGAAGCCTCACAGCGGAGCTCGGACCCCCCGTGGAGAAGCCCCGATTCCTGGAAATTCGCTGAAGGCGCAGGGGACCCTGTGTGTGCACAGCGGTGACGGCCACCGGACAGCCTGCGCTCCGCGTTAGAGCCGCGTCCGCTCCGCTCCGCCGCTGGATGCTGGCGGCTGGGCCCACGGGCTGGGAGCGCCTGAGACGCGCCTTCCCCACTGAGGAGTGGCTTCCTGTGGGCTCCCCCTCATGGGCTCCCCCTCGTGGGCTCCCCCTCGTGGGCCCCCGAGCACGCCTGGCAGAGCGGGAGCCGGGCCCTGAGTTGCTGCCGAGCCTAGCGGGACAGCAGGTATGGTATTTCACAGGGGTGACTAGAGGGAGAGGTGACTTGTCCCCCCGCTTCTGAACGGT